GACAGTGCAATCACAATAGTGTTCTCTCCATTATGTAAAACACCTAAAGCATAAAACATTTTCATTCTGCCTATGCAAATTATAATAAAATACGCATCAAATTTCTTCTCGATTAAATTCAAGGAAAATTAATTCACAGTGAAAAAAAGACTTTCTTTATTATCGTTTGGTTAATTTTCTGATCTGGAACATACTGTAATGGTTCTAAAAACAGATTCCATGCCCTCATTTTCACATTGTATGTGCATTTCATGCATATTAATGAAAAGACAACAGCTTTTAAATGCATGTTTAATGCTTAATGTTTTTTATGACAAAAATGTGGAACAGTGAATGTCTCTAATGGTCACAAATTTAAGGCCATTTATTATTCCATATAGTATCTCATGTTACTCTTCCATTTTAACTTTTTTTTAGCTGATACAGCCAGAATTCATTTTACGCAGCTTTGCAGGTAGATTGGCATCAAGCATTGTTCCCAAGGTCATCATTCCTTGTGCTTTCTTCTGCAGCTGAAGGTTACCAGTAGACTGGGTCATATTCTCGGGTTTCACCTTGAAATATTTTAGTGGAGTATTCTCTTCACAGGTGGACACTGTTATCCTTTGGATCTTCAAGGGAAGGTCTCCAGTACTGCAAGCTCTCTCTACGTTACTGCTACACATTCGTAATAGTTTTGCCTGGACATTGTCACTTCCCCGATTGAGTTTCTGAAGTTTAGTAGGAAGTATACTGCTTCCTACTTCAAACACATTAAGGTAGTCTAAAGAGCAGACCCTGTCCCTGATGTACTTTTCACTACAAAGGGAATTTAGAGGTGAACTGGGGGATAATTTGTCTTCCTGTTCCTTTACACTATAATATGGGGTTGGTACTTCAAATGTAGCATGGAACTGGGAGTAATCCACTCGAAAGAAGCCTTCTTCTAACGACATGACAGGGAGAAATCTGTGTCCCCACAGCACTTCATCTTCAGTGTAAGATGTTCTTGCCTGGCAGGTCATTCCTGTAAAAAAATCAATATCTCATTACATGCATTAAGGACACACGATATAAATAACCCACCCCAGAACTACAGGCATCTCTGATCTCTGCACTTTACAGGAAAAACACAAGGTTATTAGTTATATACATTTAAAGAGCCACCACAGGCAATCAGTAGAAATCATATAGGCAATCAGAGAAATGATTCATTAAAATGCCAATGGTAACCAACCATGCTGAATTGAAAAAAACACTACTTGTTTTCCTTTAATACAAATTGTATTCAGTAGGGTTGCACAGATACTTTTCGAGTACCAGTGCAGATACTTGGCATTTTCATGAGAACTACCAGGGTTGCAGTGGTTGCAGCTGGGACCTGGCTCTGGCGCTCCACCACTGTATCAGTACTCGTACTTGTAAGTACTCGCAAGTACCAGTACTCATACTCTCAAAACTGGTATCTGTGCATCCCTTTATTTATATTTATAAAAACAAAATCATACATTAAAACAGAGATGTACAAATCCCAGGAGCTCTGCGTGCTCCTTACAAATGACAGCTGCCTCCTAACTTCTGAATTTTTCTCTAGTCTAGTCTTGGAGCTCAAAAGTATCAGTACATGTACTCGTACTTGTACAGAGTACTGTACTTGGTATCTGTGCAACCCTAGTATTCAGCCCTTTCATGACTAGGGATGAGCCGAACACCTCCGTGTTCGGTTCTAATTCGAACTTTCAATTCATGACCATAGGTAACTGAAACCTAGATGCCCAGACCAAATTCAGCAGAATCATTAGGCATTGGTTAATTTGTCCACAGCTATATGGGGGCAATTTTAAAAGCGGTGGTATGACCCTACCGTGGCCATCCCCCTACTTTATAAAAAAAAAAACATATTTATTGATAAAGCACGACAGGATCTGTTTCTGAGCTATTAAAATAAAGATGCAAAAAAACAAAACAAAGCTGTGAGTAGAGCCCAGGTATGTGACTGTCACTGTCTCATTATTTTACAAGTGAGCGGCGCCTGTGCAGGCGCAGTAAAAGAGTTAACTGAAGTCTTTCACTGCCATTTTTTTTTCTTCTTATCTCTATAGGTTGAACTCGATGGACTTGTCTTTTTTCAACCTGATTAACTATGTAACTATTTAACATTTGCCCACAGTCCTAGGCCACCTGCACGCATGTTGCTCACTGTCAGCAACAAGTGGGTTTGGGTGCAGTAGCCAGCTTTCCAGGTGTCATTGCTGCCTGTTACCTTCACCGGGGTCTACTTGTAAGACAATAAGACGGGGAAGGGAAGGTATATGCACAATATCTCCAATATAATAAATATAAATGGGGGTCCCCTAACTATTAAAAGTTTTTGGAAAAAGTTTTCCCTGGGGAGAGGGGATCCCACCATTCTTTACACAATCTACGTGACAATCAAATGGTGAAAAAAGTATAAATGTATTTATTCAATAAAAATCTATAATTTTAGACTCTACGTACACAGAAAATCAGAAAAATATATTAATCAGACAGACAGATAAATATATATACACAACAGACAGATAAATATATATACAAGAATTAATGACTGCATACCGCCTATGAACCAGTAAGTAAATGAGTGAGTTAATGAGAAAATTCCTTGTCAATTAGGAGACATGCCGCTTAGAAAGCCAGATGTATTCATATATTTTTTATATAAAAAAGACAAAATGCTGTCCATGAAGTAAATTCCGATATATGCTGGGTTTCTTGATAATTGCCCTAGTTTGCACTAAAGGGCACAAAAGGTATCGGAGTTGTAGCTACGGAGGAAGCGTATCATGTGGACACAGCACCCCTGGGGATCAAGGGAGTGGGATAACACAGTTGATATGAGAAAAGGTATTTTTATATATATATATCTATAAAAACTTGTAAGAGCCAGCTTTGCTGACCTGCCTGCCCCTGCTACTTCCTGCTAAAATCTTGGCATGCACAATTTTCATCCATGGCTGAGTTGGCTCCTGCACAATTTTCATCCATGGCCGAGTTGGCTTCTGCACAATTTTCATCCATGGCCGAGTTGGCTCCTGCACAATTTTCATCCATGGCTAAGTTGGCTCCTGCAGTTTGCATCCATTGCTGAGGGGGCTCCTGGAGTTTGCATCCATTGCTGAGGGGGCTTCTGGAGTTTGCATCCATGGCTGAGTTGGCTCCTGCACAATTTTCATCCATGGCTGAGTTGGCTCCTGCAGAATTTTCAGTTGGCTGAGTTGGCTCCCACATTGCTGGCAATTAACACTGACTTCTAACATTGCAGCCAGGCCCGGATTCCCTACAAGGCCACAGAGGCCCGGCCTTGGGGCGGCAGGGCGCAGAGGGGTGGCAGGGTGTATCCTTGTGGGGAAGTTGCCCTCTCTACATTTAGTCCTGCTTTGCACAAGCAGGACTAAATGTAGAGTGAGGCTGCCGATTTTTCGTTTACATGTGAACTCGGCGATGTCGCCGAGATCACATGTAAACAGTGTGCAACCTCCTCCCCTCCCCCCTGCACTTACCTCTCTCCTCTTGTTACGGGCTCCGCCGCCAAGTCTCTCATTGCAGTGAGCAGAGCGGCAGGTTTAAAAGTAACCCTGCCGCTCCGTGCAGACTGTAGACGGTGAGAGGGGAGAGCTGTGCTCTTCCTCTCTCACCTGTCACAGGAGTTCCAGCACAGTGCTGTGCTAGAACTACCATATTGGAAGTGACAGGGTCAATAAAGAGAACCTGTCACCTCCAATTGCTATCACACAGGGGACATTAAAACTATTTTTCATTCACAAGACCTGTGTCCTTTTTTTTTTCTGCCATCTTTGTGAGATGTCTGAATATCTCAGCTACGGATCTCTGCAGCTGCTTCAGAGTTACCATTGTTCTCATTGCTGTTTCTCTGGATAATGCTCTCCTTAAAGTGTATCTCTAGGCAAAGCTTTTTTTTACTACGGCTTACCAGTTGTTAGATGTGGTGACTGCATTCGTTTTCTTTCCTTCATTTTTACCTGGTAATCTATATAAATGTTCATTTTGAGTGTGCCGAACATCATTCACAAAGCTAAAGGAAAAATCCCCTTTGCAAAGTGAACAGCCTATTTGCCTTTAGTAAATCAACCCCACTGTTTTAAAGTAGTAATAAACTCTCAAACATTATTCAATAATGAATCCAGATCAAACAAATATACATTGCCCAGCAAACTATTTCTTAATTTTTTTTCCCCAAGCACTTACAGTTATCATGTTTCAGAACAGCTGTAACTCTTTCACTTCCTCTTCCCTGTCCAGTACAAGATCACAAGAGACAGACCAGTCTCTAGCAGTCGTCCATCTACTAGCTTGGAGAAGAAAGGAGGAGGAGTGGGGAGCAGAGGAGCGTGTCCTGCCAAGGGTGGCTCCATAGGACATGTAGGAGCAGCATCTACTGTACGTGATTTAACCAGCATTTGAAATAACGGACTATTGGCTTTTATATAAAACAATAAATATTTTTTAAGTCACTGACCCAGAACAAATATAGAAATTAAAAAGTAGAAAGTGAAGACTTGTATAATTTACAAATGCAGTAACTATAGAAATGCAAAACAAAAAAAACATACTTTATATATGTAAAGTTTTCTATATACAAGCACATTTTGAAAGACACAGCTATACTTGTTCAGTCTGATGGTGCGCAAACATTTTTGTTTAACTGATTAAAATGCTTGTGTGATCTCCATACATAGCAAGTGCTCTGAGGGACTCATTTTGGATGCATTTGTGATATAGACAAGTTTTGTGATACTCAGTTTTAAATATCACTGGGGCCTCCATCGTTTTTTTTTTATACAAACAGATCTACTGGGTATTTTTAAGTGATATTTTGTTATTGTGTTCTTTTTTGTATTTTGCATTTCTGTTGTTACTGTGTTCCCATATCTCAAAATGATCTATACCCAGTCTTCTTTCTTTATGATTGGTTACACAGTGAGCTCATCAAGTATTTTTTGACAGATAAATCATGGCTATGTAGAAAATCAAAGTAAGAAGTCCTTATCTGCATATTTATTCTGGGTTGGTGTACTGAAGCAAAAGGGTGACCATGAAAGCCAGGCAGATTGTATTTTAAGAATGCAAATTGCATTTGTATTTTTGACATAGCAGCCTCCATGTTCACTTTAAATCCATTTTAATTCTAGTTGTAACAGAACAAAATATAAACAGGCTAAGTGTGGTTAATAATTCTGCAAACCACTGTATCATTGTAAGACTGCTCGGGATGGTGAGTTAATTGGGTAATATGTTGGCTATAATTTAAAATCTGTCATTTTCTTCAAAAATAAAGTTAACCTCCAGTAATGCAAATTTTCTGGAACATTAATGACATTAATGGCATCATAAATGGCCAGTGAGATCTATGAAACGCTAACCAATATTCTATTCGTGCCTATAATATCTACATTACAATGCTAATAGTTGACTGCATGAACTTACATTTTCTTTGATATTTCTGAAAATGATTCCATTAGTTGATTCTGGTAATGTTAAAGGTACTGTCTCCATTTGTTTTTTAATGATACCATTTTATTTTAATGCAGTGGCATACCTAGAACATCTGACAACCAGGGCAGATTTTTAACACCCCCTCAAGATACCTAAACTTATCTTCAGTAATATTTACGAAATCATCATAAGATCATTCCTGCGATTAATTGTATCAGCCTCAAACACAATTTATTCCATTCAACGTGTAGCTTTGTTTTTATTACACAGAATTAGTAAATAATACCATAGTTGCCTACACTTGAAAAAAATTAATAATATGCTTTTCTCTCTATCAGGCCTTAACTATAACTTTACCATTGGACGGACATCTACAGTCAGCTGACACTAATACCAGTGTTCTTTTAGTGCCAGGGGCACCCTTTGCATTGTTACAACAGATTTTGCTTGTTGGAAAGTTAGGAGGGGGAGGGACCCCGCACCCCCACAGATAAAGAAAAAGTATGTGGTGTTCCCCCCAAAATACTGGGCCCT